TTGATCAAGCTAAGCCCATGTTGGTAATATTGATAAATTAGGTTTAGATTTATCATCTGATTGTTGCGAATTTGTATTATTTTCCCTTGATATGTCAGCAGATGTAGTTGTCTTATCATTTGGTGTTTGTTGTTCATCTGAATGATCAGCTGTTTGAGCTATCATTTGTTCTGATGACGATGATATACTTACAACATTTTTTTCATCTGATTCACTATCTTTACTTCATATTTTTGCAAACTACTTATTTGAAATGAAGCCATTTCTGTATTAATTAATTGTATTAATATTAATTGTTTAAATATCTGATTACGATAAAATAAAGTTGATTGATTTATATTTAGCCCAAATGATGACGCATTATCACGATAAATAATAGATACTTAAAAACATGTACCATCATTATCTAATGGTGTTAAAACAAGATAAACAAATTTTCTTTTTTCTGTCTTTATTTCGGATATAGAATAGACGGTGGTGCAATGAGTTGTAGAGACATGCGTTGTTTATCTGATGATGAAAAAATATATATATACGCGTCTTTCTCGTTTTTTTTTCTTTTTATCTAATACTAGAATATATCTATCTATCTTCTTCCTCTTCTCTTGTGTGTTTGTTCATCATCATCGATTTCTTTCTTCTACGTCTTTTTCTCGTTGACGTAACAACAACGTCGACAAAAACAGACATACAATGTCATAGACAAGATTATGTTACGCTAATATCTTACTGACTTTCAGTAGTATCTTATTATTTAAAAAAGTGAAATAATGAAAAATATTATTTTATAATATAATCGATATTAATTCAGCTATAAGCATGGATATTATATTGCATACCTGAAGAAGACTGTATAGACTATGTTTACGCGGCTGTAGAAAATGAGAAATGTATACTGTTCTTTTTTTTTCCTTCTCATTAATATTAATGAATGGAAGAAAAAAAGTTTAATTGAAAATACTTACTCTAATTCCACGAGTTGGTATTTGTGTTGTATTATTTATAGGGACTGAGTTTGATGTAGTACTCATTAGATTAATTAGACTTGTACTAATCTAAACAAAAAATAGAAAAGAAGACTTAGAAAAAATGAATTCATTATTCTTTTGTTTTTGAATCGAAAAGTTTAAAGATAATTAAAGGTAATCTATCAATGATACAGACGATTGATTTAACTAGTTCGAAGACAACAAAAAATCATTTTTTCTTCTCTCGAATCAATTCAATTTAACATGCAAGTGAGATTAGAAGGTAATGAGCTTTATGCATGTGTATATGTATAAAGAAATATCAGAGAAGAAAAAAACAGATAATTTTTTTCTATTTCTCGTAAATTCTAGGCACATGATCTATTTATAAAATACGATGAATGACATGTATCTGACAAACATAAATTTGGTATTATATATCAACGTGAAAATCAAATAACTGAAAAAGATATATTTAGTAATGGAACACGTAGTATTGCTACGGATAAATTTCTTGATGGAATTGGTCAACACTTTAAACTAAAAGATTTCCAAGGATAAAATTACATGGATTCTATTTAAAAAATGAAATTTTCTTTTAGATTTCGTAGTAGTCTTGATCTTAAATCTGATCATACAAGAACAGAATCAATTTATAAACAATTTAATAATCATGAAATAATGTTTCATGTTAGTACATTATTACCACATTCAAAAATTGGACGACAACAACTTGAACGTAAACGTCATATTGATAATGATATTGTTGCAATTGTCTTTCAAGAAAATCAAGCAATATTTAATCCAGAATGTATTGCTTCACAATTTTTACATGTTTATCTTGTTATAACACCAATTTATACGGATGGAACAGCTTTTCGAGTATCTATTATTCATCGTGATAGTGTAACAACTAGACATGTGCGGGACCAACTTTTTTTAGTCCCGATCATTTCTTTTTTTAATGGTCCTGGTTCCGTCTCGGTCCCGATAACTTCTTTTTCAATGGTCCCGGTCATAGTTAGGGTAAATTTGATTTGGTCGCGGTCCCGGTCTATAGAGAATTATTTCAGATTTTACTTGCATTAAATCTAAAAAAATTCTTAAATAATCTTTTTTTTAATTGATGTAGTCGAAAAATACCAGTTTTTTTTGTCACCTCTTTTGACTTTTGCCTTGATTGATATGATTTTTATTATATTTTACCCAAAACCATAGAAAATTTAACCACAATTTTCAGTTCCAGTCTCGGCCTAGTCTCCATAAAGTTTTATCTTTGGTCCCGGCCAGGCAGACAAACGATGAAAAATTACGCGTTAAAGCGTGTTAAAAAATTTAACGAAAAAAAGATCGCAAAAACCGCACATTTTTACGCGTTCAAAACGCGTTACATTTTTGAACGACGTAATAGCGCGTTCAAAAGTTTAACGCGTTTGATTTCTGAACTGAATGAATTATTAGAGAAAACAGTCACAGTTCATAAGGTTAGATTGCTCGAAAGATAGTTCAGACGTGTTCTTAGTTATTTTAGTCTTGTTACACGATGATAACAAGACTAAAATAACGAAGAACACGTCTGAACTATCTTTCGAGCAATCTAACAAGGAAACCTTCCCAGGTGCCAGAGCGCTTTTCAGTCGGACTTTTGCGCATCTTGTAGCCCATAGTGAGCTATGTCTGTGGTAAAAAAAAACTCGGGCCTCTGGCTTGTTTCTGCGGAGATATCGAGCTTCTGGTGGATTTTCTCTATAGTGTGCCCACATTAGCAGCAAAGCTATACTTTCGAATTTTGATCTGAAACTTTGTCTGCATAAAGGCCTCAGTTAGACTAGTTTGCATAAAAAATTTCAGAAGTTTTAAATAAAGTCTCTCTAAGATACGAAGCTTTGATAAAAATGCATACTATATGTGTTATTTATGAAAAAGGCGCTATACCTTGATAGTTTCATATCTCAGAGAGACTTTATTCAAAACTTCGGAAATTTTTTATGCAAACTAGTCTAGCTGAGGCCTTTACGCAGACAAAGTTTCAGATCAAAATTCGAAAGTATAGCTTTGCTGCTAATGTGGGCACACTATAGAGAAAATTCACGAGAAGCTCGATATCTCCGCAGAAACAAGCCAGAGGCCTGAACTTTTTTACCATAGACATAGCTCACTATGGGCTACAAGATACGCAAAAGTCCGACTGAAAAGCGCTCTAGCACCTGGGAAGGTTCCCTTCTTAGCTTCCAAGAAGTTTGGACCAAGAAGATTTTATTTAAAACTCTAATACAGTATGTGATAAAAAAAAAAACTGAATAAAATCGTCCTTTTTGGCGATTAATCGCGATATGATCTCACGATTAGTCGGGCGATTATTCGCGATAAAATCCCTGGTTTTTACGCGATTTTGATGGCATGGGACTGCAATCGCTTTCAATCGTATTTTTCCTGTATCACAACTTACTAAATTAACTGTTAAATGTCGGTTTTTTCCTTTTAAACAGCTGACACAATAAAACTTTGTTCTATACAAATCAAAGATACAGAATCTCAATTAATTCAACAGAGTGAATCATCTCGACTAATATTTAATATAACTAATATTCAAAATCTGATCACCGATGAATGTTCTATGGTAAAACAATTTCAATTGATTACTGATTTATGTCCTCGCTTGGAACAATTTACAACTGAAATGAATAGAAAAAAAATTTTCTCTATTATAGGATTATTATTAGAAAAAAAATGATAAAAATATTCGTAATTTGTTCTTTTTCTGTGCTTTAAAAGCACCTAAAATATCCTTATGGGAACTGAAGAGGTGAATTAGTGCTAGAAAACGACTCGATGATTATTTAATAGATCATGTTAATCGGAAATTATATTTGTGGTAGTAAGATTTAATCTTTTAAAAAAATATGTTTTATTTCTTGTATATAGTTCGTTTTACATAAAATGAAAACAATGATTGAATAAATATTTTCTAAAAGATGAATAAGTCGAAGTATTGAAAGACTACAGTTGCTTTTCTGTGATTGAATTTTGAAAAATATTATCAGAAAGGTCGACGTCCTACCTTGAACTTTTTCTTTTTAAATTCTTTGAAAAAAAACTGATCATATGAAAAAATTAACCAACTCGAATTTCACTGATGATTTCTTACAGACGTTTAATAAACACACGCGTCCTTCCCTGAGGGTGATCGTACCACAGAAATCTTATTGAGGGTGCTACGAAAATCTTTATCACATACACTTCAGCACCTATCTCTCTGCTGAGGATGCTCGGAAATTATGATTTCACATGAAAAACACATTGTGGATCCGAAGAAAGTGATTGAATTTGGATGAAAATCTTTGAATTTTTCATTTACGATTCATCCACTAAGGAATCAGTTTTCCATGTGAAACCACGATTTCCGAGTACCCTCAGCTAAAGAGATATGTGCTGAAGTGTACGTGATAAAGATTTTCGTGGCACCCTCAAAAAGAGAGACGTGTATGTATCAGTGTCCGACATGGGTCAATTTTTTGTGACCCGACCCGATCTGAGCTCAAAAGCTTTTTCGTAACCCGATCCGGCCCGACCTAACCTGAGATGAGCGATAGTTTTTGGCCAATCAAAGCGAGTTTTTTTCAGACATTGATAATCTTCTCAATGAATCTATACATATTCCGTCAATATTCGAAATAAAGAAGTCATTATCTCATCTAAAATCTCTGCTTTTCTTATGTGAAGTTCGGAATTCGTCAACTTTTTCTGATCCAAGCATGATCGGATCCGACTTGACCCGAGGTTAAGTATGGTTTTTCGTGACCCGACACAAGTCGGACACTGGTGTGTATGTGTATAATGATGCGAAATCTCGAAAATTCCAACCAAAAATATCAATTCACATGACTTTTTCCTCACAGATTTTTTTCTCCAAGTTGAAAACAATTCCTCGAAAGGTTTTCTCCAATTGTTAAAAGCTATTCTGGTGCGATTTTAGTCTTCCGGAAGAAATTTTTCGAACGTCACTTATTGTTAGGGAAAAACTTCGACTTTTTCGAAAATTTTTGAATTTTTAATCGAAATTCAGGGTGTGGGTGTGGGTGTGAGGCAATAAAGATAACAACACCCGAATCCACGCCCACACCCTAAACAAATAGGATTTCTCGCTCGTCTATTAACTATTCCTCAGTGAATTATTCTTAGTCGAATGATTATTTATGACTTTTGTTCTCTTCTGTAAGCATACTCGCACTTTATTATAGAATCTTTCAACCAACCAAACGATAAAACGTGCCAACTTTATTCGATTTTCTATTTATCGACTAGGATTAATTGACAGTTCGAAAGTTCTAACCGATGATTTTCCCATAATCATATTGCGTTCAATCATAGAAACTGATTGAGAAACATTAAGTCTATTTTAAGATTTCTATAGATAATTCTATGGAGATTATTTTAGAAATAAGAATTTTTTTTTCCTTCAATAAATAAATGTTTTCTTTGGGAATAAAATGAGAATAATTATTAATATATCCCTTTAGAAAAGTAATTATATATTCTGAGAGCCTTTGAAATGCTCTATCACCCTCTATATT